AGGCGCACTAGTGGGACTGACTCAACGGCTAGTGGCAATGAAAATGAAATGCACACTGGCGGGACTGACCCACGCTCCAGTGGCTGTGAAAATGAAATTCTCACTGGCGGGACTAACCCACGCTCCAGTGGCGATGTAAATGAATTGTTCACTGGCGGGACTGACCCATGTTCCAGTGGCAGTGAAAAATGAAATGCTTACTGGCGGGATTAACCCACGCTCCAGTAGCGATGTAAATGAAAATGCTTACTGGCGGGACTAACCCACGCTCCAGTAGCGATGTAAATGAAAATGCTTACTGGCGGGACTGACCCACGTTCCAGTAGCGATGTGAATGAAATGTCTTTACAATCGGACAGTGGGATCAAACCCGAGCCTGCCGTGATGAACTTGATTTGATTTTTTGATTTTTTTGATTTTTTGATTTTTTGATTTTTTGATTTGATTTTTCGAGAGAATCTTTTCAAAATAATTTGCCCAGTTTCCACCAATTATTAAACTGATCAATTGATTTGCATTACGGCGTGGTTGCTCCTCCTTGAGGCCTTGATTCGTAAGATTTTGACTTACGCTTCTTCGTTGATTTCAGCCATGGATACCTGCACAGGGGCTTACCAAAGTATGACAAGCACTTGAATTTCATGAAAAGAAACAGCGTGATTGATATGAAAAATGCATTATTTGATTCTTGGACGGAATCCTCAATTGGACTACAAAAATATTTGCCCCTGTGTGGGCTTATTCTCACGAAATCTCATAAACAAAAATTTGCCCCAGTATGGGCCATTTAATTGCAAAACTTGTTTGGATGATTTTCCATTTATTTGAACACTGTAAGAAACTATGTTTCCTAAAAGAAAATTTCATGATGAATTTCTTGAAATAATACCAAATTACAGAAGATTTCTTCCTCACTTTTAGCATCTGTGTTTTGGGTAATGGGTCACCATTTCCAGTTGGCTCATCTTCAGGACCAATCAAGTGACTTTATTTCTGATTTTGAGGTGGCTAAGGAAAATAAGAGGTCAGGATTTGTCTTATTTTTTGTGCCCAAATTGTATGTAATTCCTTCAATACCACATCTTAGTGAAAGCAAAGAGTTTGTCACCCTTATTTCTTAAGAAAACTTAGTCAACGTATAAGCTTTATAGGCTTGCAACAAAATGGGTAGAAGCGATAGCTAAACCTGTGAAAACTGGTTATACCCCCATGATCACAAATGATTGATGGATTTCTTACGAGCATAATTCTCACTTTAGATTGTCATGAAGGAATAAGTCCACGATGGACTTTATTAGCTTGTAATGTGGCTTGAAACGATAGTTAAAGAATAAAACTTTCAAGGACATTGCACCGAAGATCGCATTTTTCAAAATTGCCCCTCTTTTGAACTCAAAAAAATCTCAGACTTTGTTTGCATTTTTTCTCATCATTCACCAGGGACTTCAGCGTCGAATTTTTCTGCATTTTCCTTGCATTTACTTTTCTTGCTTTGCTTTTTGCCTCTTTTTCCTTTTCCTCAACTTGGTGGATTTTCACATGGTGAGTAGCGTCAACCCCATACTCAGGCAATTCAGAAATACAGCTAAAATTTTCCGGCATCAGAAATTTTCTTAACAGGGCCATTGCAAAGAACAGAAGTCAGGACTTTTAGCTTTTGTAATGGGGTCAGGTGGGGTGCTTAGAAAAGTTAAGGCTTGAAAGCGGATTTCAAAAGTGGTTTGAAGAATCTGAGATCGCATTGTTGTGCCAACCCTATTTTAGGGTTAAATCAAAATTTGCCAGAGCTTGTGCTCAATTGAGGCTTTTTCTCTTTCATTTTCTTTTGATTTTTCGGCCTTCTGCCATTTTTTTGAACTTTCACAAAATTTACCCCAGTTTATTTTTTGAACTGAGGTTCTCTTTTCTTCTTTTGCTTTTGATTTTGTTGCATTATCACTTTTCACTTCTTGAAACTTTTTCTTTTCCAACTCAAACTTGCCCCAGTGTAGGGTTTGCGATTCTCAGGGGTTGCCAAACGAAATAATTTATTCTGAACGCTCAAAAGGGATAACGAGGGATAGAATGTTTGATTGGAAAAGAAGAGGGCCTGACTTTCATTCCGTTCCTTACAATAACTCTGAAAGGAAACTTTCATTAATGGGAAATTTCTGGCATGTATCTGAATTAACTGACTGAGGAAGACCCTTATTCATCCATATCTGTGAAACATAGGCAGTCCGTGCGGACAAATCTCTTCCTTTTTCCCTTTTTCCAAAATTGAAGCCCAGATAGATTCAAATTTCTCCAATTTGTGATTCCCTCTTTTCTTTTCTTTTAGCATTTTTGCTATTCCCCTTTTTGAAAAATTCTGCAATCTCCCTCCCCAATGCGGGGTACGATCGTAAGTGCTTTGAAAAGAACCACCAATTTTAGCTCAAATGAGGATGCAAGGGATGATCAGTGTTTAGGTTGTAGAAACGATGGCCAAAGTATCATTCTTACGCCTCATGACAACCAAAATAACGAAATGGTCATTGAAAATCCATTTCCCTTTTTGATATTTGAAACTTTTCCAATATAGGGTAGTGATCATTAGGCCTCTTATTTGAAACGAAATTATTCTTTCAAAGGCTCAAATGGGAGAGCAAATGATAAAATGTGTATAGGTAGAGAAAAGAATGCTCGAAGTATCATTCCAAATTTTCAAAACAAACAAGAATAATGCACATTGTTTGCTTTCACTTAGATGTGAATTGAATATAATTAGACACAGTGGACATTTCTCAAGCAAAGATTGCCCCAACTTGCAATTCATCAATCAATGTGACTGATTTTATTTTGGGGTTAAGTGAAGGAGAAAGGCATCTCATGGGCCTTCTGAGTGATCTCTTTTAATTTTGAGCACTCTTATTGTGTAGCTCGGATCACCAATCTAGTGTACACAAGAATTTTAGAAAGCATACACTTGCGAATTTTCAGGCTGGAGGTTGAAAAACTCTCAATTCGGTCGTATTTCTTAAAATTCATCATGAAATCTCTTAATGAGCTCAATAAAGAATGAAATGTACACGAGTATCATACAAAACAAATAATTGTCTGAACAAAAGCTTCATTATAGCCAATGTTTGAAAAATTTAAAAGCAATTCTACAAAATTCCTCTGCACATGTATACACATTTTCTCACTTAATATCCCCTCTTTCTTTGAGCAGTGAAATCCCTTAGATGTTTTGCACGAGTGCTTTCAGATGAATTTTTGAATTCACGTTGTAGGGCCTGCCTAAGAATCAAGTAATACTTGTAATTTTCAAACTTTATCAGACCAAAATTGTTATCAGATATAGAAAGGTATTTTCCCTTTATTGAAATATTTTTATGAATGCAGGGGGAGGGGAAAAACAAAAGAAAAATACCCTGAGTTAGTAATCAAGATTATAAAATCGGCATGCATGTCCTATGGGGGAGCCCTTTTATGCCAAGGGTAGGCCTAGCATGAAAATGCAATCCTCTAGGGTAGGCACTATACCATACCTGATGAATCCGATCAATTGATTGAGTGAAAAATGATTTTGAAAAATTGGTCAATTGGAGTGAGAAGAGACATTTGTCTTAATGAGGACAACGTGTGAATGGATTGATCACTTTTGATCGATACAAGAATTTGCAAAAACGCACGGGTTTGACCTTGACGAACTTCCTATCGAAGAGATTGGAAATTTTTTTTTCAGTGAAGTGCGGGTCAAAACCCCAACTGATCAAATGGCTGGATGCAATGGATGGTTTTCTCAAAATCGACTAGGTTTCTCAATTTGAAATTCGATACTGAAACCCTGATTGGTCAAATGGGTTTGAATGAAATTGACCATTTATTTAAAATCGACCGGATTACCCTAAAAAGGGAAACGGGTCAAATGAATTGAGTGACATTTGATAACTTACTCAAAATTGACCGGATCATCCTAAAAAAGGAACTTGGTCAAATGAATTGAATGAAATCAAGAATTTATTCAAAATTGACCAGATCGCCCTAAAAGGGTAAATTGGTCAAATGAATCGGACGAAATTGATGATTTATCGAAAATCGACAAAATTGCCCTAACTAATCAAATGAATTGAATGAAATCGGTGATTTATTCAAAAATCGACTAGATTGCCCTAAAAATGAACAAATTGATAAAATGGATTGGATGAAATTGATGAATGAAATGGTCCAATGGATTGAATGGAATTGGGAGCTTATTTAAAAATCAAGCTATCCACTGATAGTTTCAAAAATTTATTACGATGCATTAGTCTATGAGCCTTCTAAAATCAAATTTTGGCCTCAATTTATTTATTGTCTCAATAGCAAGGAATTATTTGCGAATTTCTTCAAATTAATGTCCTTTGCGCAAGGAATTTTTACCAAAATTGATAAAAATGGCCAAAAAATGATTATTAGATGCTCATATCCCAAAAATCGCTCTTACGAAGATGATCGGATCCTACCTTACCTTGTGCACTACCTCTTTGGATGGTACAAAATGTAAACGTGCAAGTCTCCTTGGATTAAGTATCCGAGACACAAGGTGGCTTATTCCTAGCACGGGATCCCCTAAATGGCATTCCCTTTCTAGGGTGGATGCATGATGCCAGTTTATTAAAGCTATGTAAATATGTGACAAATATGGCCTAAAGGACATAAATAATGCATCAGGGGAAAAAGGTCTAAAAATGAAATGTACTTATAGAAAATTAAGTGTAATAACTGAAATTTAAACATGTGAGTTATCTAATGGGTAAGTCACTAAAAGAGTGCCAAAGAGGCCTCTTATCGCTAAGGCACATGAATGCAAGCCAAGAAAACAAAAAATGGTTAGTGCAATTGATAGTACACATAACATATTGGGAGCAATTAAGAAAAGAAATACAGTAAAAGCAAGTAAAAGGGGTGAAGGAATAAAGTACAGTTTTTCTTAGGGTTTCCGTCTTAGAGAGTGTCCGGCAAAAGGTTCCGTGGCTTTCAGCCGTTGCTCGGCTATGGCAGCCCTCCGGCCGATTGCTGGGGGGCGACCATCTCATTCGGTGGATTTCCAAAAAAAGTCCTTTTCTGACCTCTTCTCAGGAAATTCTTCTCAGCCGGCGTTGAAGCTTCAGGCGATGGCTACCACCCACAAGGGTGAGCCGGCAATGTTGTTTTCGAAGGAGGACCTGGATGTTTTAGCGTCCCCATACAGATTTGCGCTGGTAGGCAAGTTCTCACGGGGGCGCCCTAAGCTGGAGGAAATCCGCAAGTTCTTCAGTACGTTAGACTTGAGAGAGAAGACTACGGTGGGTCTCATGGATTCCAGGCATGTAGTTATTCATATGGGCAACGAGGCTGACTTCCTTAGAGTCTGGGCGCGAGGAATTTGGTATGTTTCAGGGTTCCCAATGCGTGTGTTCAAATGGTCTCCAGCTTTCCATGTGGACAAAGAACCTTCAGTTGTTCCTGTTTGGTTTCAACTTCCCAAACTGCCGCTACATTATTTTCAAAAGGAGGCGATTTTTCAGATTTCTTCGGTCCTCGGTATCCCGTTGTTCGTCGATGCCGCAACTTCGGCTGTGGCAAGGCCAAGTCTTGCTAGGGTTTGCGTCGAAATTGATTTACTCCAGCCACGGCCTTCTCGGATCTGGATTGGTAATGGGAACTATGATGGTTTCTGGCAAGATCTGGTCCCAGAAAATACTCCCAAATATTGCCCACATTGTTTTCGGCAGGGTCATGGAGTGGATGACTGCCATGTTCGCAATCCTGCGCTGCGGCCTCCTAAGGTTGAGGGTCAGCGACGTGACAGGCAGCCCATGGCAGCGGAAGGTGGACCAAGGCAGCGTGAGGAGGCAACACAGGAGGGTGAAATTTCGGAGGGGCCTGCTGTGGTCATGGAGGCAGCACAGGGGGGTGGCGTTTCGGAGGGGTCTGCTGTGGACAAGGAGGTAGCACAGGGGGGTGGCAAATCGGAGGGGCCTGCTGTGGCCAAGGAGACAGAAGGGGTGTGGATAGAGGTAGGGGTAGAGCGGGTGGCTAATGGAGCAGTGGGTCAGAACCAGGGTATCGGTCATCAGATGCCACTCCTCAATGAGCCCGTTGGGGAGGGTTCAGAAGCGTCAGGAGGTGAACCGATGAAATTCATTGACATGCAGGCGCATGCCAGTCGGAATGAGCAGGAATCAGAACCTGGGTTGGAGCAGGTCCGAAGCGGTCGAGAGGTGGAACAGCAGGGCGTGGCGTGTGATAGTTGTGAGGAAGAGTTCGAGGATGATTTTCACACGATGACAGGTTCATTATCGCCCAGGTTGGTGTGCGTGCGTGAGAGGGAAGCAGTTAGCACATTGGATGCACTAAACATTGAGGAGTATACTGGGCAGGACAAGTCGGGAAAAAAAGCAAAGGGGTTACGGGCTCGTTTCAAGTCGGACAGACAATTGCGGTCTACCACCGCAACCAATAACTCTTTCCAGGTACTTCGTAATGATTAATACACTATTATGGAACATTAGAGGAGTGTCTAAGCTCCCAAATTTACGGAGATTAAAAAGCATTATTAAAGAGAAGGGTGTTCAGTTTGTGGCAATTTCTGAGCCAAAATTAGAGGCGTCGCGAGTTGAGGATATTAGATTGAAACTTGCTTTTGATTTTGCACATGTTAATGATTCGGGAGATTTATGGATTTTATATAAGTACCCTTTCAATTGTTCTGTGTTGGGTAATTCTACTCAGCACATTTCGTTAATGGTATCCCACCCGTGGCTACCGGGCTCTATGATTTTTTCTTTTGTGCATGCTGCGTGTACGGAGGAGGGGCGGAGGGAGCTATGGGCAAACCTCCTGTTGGATAAACCACAGGCATTGCCGTGGTGTATAGGGGGTGATTTCAATGTTATTGTGGAAGCTTCGGAAAAGAAAGGGGGGAGACCTTTTGCGGTGTCGGAGGGGGTGGACTTTTTGGCTTTCATGCAAGATGCAGAGGTTTTTGATGCGGGCTGCTCAGGGTCCAGATTTTCGTGGTGTAACAATAGGAGGGGGAGAGCCAGGATTTGGAAAAGACTTGATAGATTACTCATGAATGGGGAGATGGTAGAAGCGGTTTCAGTGATTTTGGTTGTTCATCTTGCACGCCATCCTTCTGATCATGCTCCGTTGCATGTTTCTTTTGCGTCGAGGCTAGACAATGGGGCACGGCTTTTCAGATTTCTTAACATCTGGACTACCAAACCTGAGTTATTGGATGTCATCAGGGGAGCATGGGTTGTTGATGTGCATGGGTCTCCATTACGAGTTTTATGTTGAAAACTCCAGGCAACTCGGAGGGCAATTCAGCATTGGAATAAGCAGAAATTTGGGTCAGTTGGCAATGCTGTTCGGGAGGCAGAAAACAGGTTAGCAAGGATTGAAGGGTCAGTGGAAACATCTAGGCTGGAGGAGGAGGATCCGGCAGAACTAAATATGGCTCGGGCAGATCTTAACAGAGCCCTGGCAGTGGAGGAACAATTCTAGAGGCAGAAGGCAAGAGTAAAATGGCTGGGGTGTGGGGATCGGAACACCAGATTTTTTCACGCCGTGGTTAAACAAAGGCGGGTGCAAGGGGCGATACATAGGGTGAAGGATTCTAATGGGTCTTGGGTGGACAGGGATGAGGACATTGCACAGGTTGCGGTGGAGTACTTTTCGAATCTCTTTTCAGGGCCGGTGGATCCTGGGGGTGGTGATCTAATGCATCTGATTCCTAAGCTGGTTTCAGACGAGGAGAATGAAAGGCTGGCAGCTATACCTAGCATGGAGGAGATTCGGCATTTGGTGTTTTCTATGGATGGGGAAAGTGCTGCGGGGCCTGATGGGTTTACAGGGAAATTTTTCTCTTTTGCATGGGAGGTTGTGGCTCAGGATGTGTACAAAGCGGTAGTGAGTTTTTTCTGTGGGAGTGACCTGCCAAAATTCCTCACCTCCACTTCAATAGTGTTACTGCCTAAGGTGTCGAACCCTCAAGATTTTTCAAATTTTAGACCCATCAGTCTATGCAATTTCTGCAATAAGTTGTTATCAAAGTTGTTGGTGAGTCGCATGGCCTTGGTTTTGCCAAAGCTGATATCCCCCCAACAGACAGGGTTTGTCAAGGGCCGAAGCATTTCTGATAACTATCTGCTGGCTCAGGAGCTGATGGCATCTATAGGCAAGAAGGCGCGAGGGGGGAACGTTGCTCTTAAATTGGACATGACTAAGGCGTATGACCGGATGTCGTGGTTCCATGTTATCTCCATGTTACGAGCTTTTGGTTTTTGTGAGCAGATTATCGATATGATTTGGCGCCTGATCTCGAATGTTTGGTTCTCCATTATCATTAATGGGTCTGCACAGGGGTTTTTTAAATCTAGTCGTGGATTACGCCAGGGTGACCCACTTTCGCCTGTGTTGTTCGTCATTGGCTCGGAACTACTCTCGCGAGGTTTGAATGAGCTAGCTAGCCGTCGGAATTATATAGGGTTTAGGGTCCCAACCGGCTGCCAGGCCATTACTCACCTTGCATTTGCTGATGACATACTGGTATTTACAAATGGGTCTGCAATGGCGCTTCAGCAAGTGAAACGAGTGATTGAGAAGTATCAACAATCTTCTGGTCAGTTGGTCAATCCCCAGAAGAGTGGATATTTGGTACACCCGTCTATTTCCCCGTCGCGGAAGAGGGTGATTGAGCGGCTTACTCATTTTTCAAGGCAGGATTTTCCAATACGGTACCTGGGTTTCCCGTTGTACTCAGGAAGGGGTAAGGCAGCGTATTTCGGTGAGGTGTGTCAGTCGGTTGTGGCTAGGGTGATGTCTTGGAAGTCAAGGTTGTTATCCACAGGGGGAAAGTTAGTCTTGATAAAGCATGTGCTCTCGGCAATTCCTGTCCATTTGTTGTCGGCCGCGGTGGGTTTCGGTTCGATTTTCAGGCAAATCGAGCAGGTATGTGCAAGGTTCCTCTGGGGGTCGTCAGGACAGGTGTCAAAATTCCAATGGATAAGTTGGCCTCAATTGTGTCTCCCCGTTGATGAGGGAGGTGTGGGAATCCGAAAACTTAGTGAGGTTTACTCGGCTTTCTCTTGTAAGTTGTGGTGGAACTTACGGGCAGGCACATCTCTCTGGGCTGAGTTCATGCGGGCGAAGTATTGCAAGGGGCAGCATCCGTGTCAGGTGGAGATAAAAAGGCAGGATTCGATGACTTGGAAAAGAATGGTGAACATCAGTCGGCAGACGGAATTATCCATGGTCTGGTTGGTAAAAGGGGGTTCATGTAACTTTTGGTATGATAACTGGTTAGGGAGTGGAGCTTTGTGTCTTAAAGTTCCGGTTATTCCGGAGTTATCGTTTCGGGATTTCATTTCGAATGGGTCCTGGGATTGGCAAAGGCTTAGATCAGTAATCCCGGCTGAGCTGATTTACTCATTTTCCCAACAACCGGTTCCGGAGGGGGAAGAGCAGGATGAGCTGGTTTGGCGTCACACGGCGTCAGGAAGGTTTACTCTAGCGTATGCTTTTCAGGAGGTTCGTCGCGCAAGTCATTATTCCGTTCTGCATTCTCGGGTATGGCATTCTTGGCTTCCGCTCAAGATATCTTTGTTCATGACACGATTGCTTTTGGGGAAATTACCGGTGACGGCCGCCTTGGGAAGGGTAGGGGTTCATTTGGCTTCAAAGTGTCTTTGTTGTTTGGAGGGGGCGGAGGAGACACTTGATCACGTCTTCTCAGAAGGGGATACTGCGCGTGAAGTTTGGGAGTTTTTTGGTAGGATTGGGGGGGTGTCACGGCGGGGGATTTCTGTTCGGGCTTGGCTTGCGGCTTGGTGGATGGCGCATCCAAGGGCGGAGGAGGGTCGTTTTCTGTTTGGAATTCTTCCTAGTTTTATTTGCTGGCACATCTGGAAGGGGCGTAATAGGGCATTTTTTGAGGGGGTTCCGATGTGTCATGCAAAGGTTTGCCATGACATCCTTCAGGATCTGGAAGGGGTGGCCGAAGGAAAATTTCATCAACGTGTGGGGAGGAACGTTCTATTTCAGTTTCTGGGGGGACTAGCAACCTCGCCCCAGAGATTTTATGCTCAAGCGGTCAGCTGGCGGGCGCCTGAGGGGGGAACGCTGATTTTGAACACTGATGGTTGCGCGAAAGGAAATCCTGGAGCTAGTGGTGGTGGGGGGTGTTACGAGATTCATTAGGGTTGCCGCTTTTTGCGTTCTCGGAATCTTTCGGGGTAACAACGAGTCTACGGGCAGAAGTTCTGGCCCTGGCAACGGGCCTCTGTCTTTGCAGGCAGATGGGGTATACAGATGTTACCATTCAGGTGGACTCTCAGGTGCTGGTAGGGATTCTGCAGAGAAGGGTCCAGTGTCCATGGCAGGTTCGTGCTGCGGTCGAACAGATTTGGGGTATGATCCCGGACGCGGGCCAGGTTTCGCATTGTTATAGGGAGGCAAACAGGGTGGCTGATAGGCTGGCAAACGTGGGCGTTACTCGACAGATACAGAGCATTATCACTTACGAGAATTTTGATGAATTACCAGCTTTGGTGCGTGGCGAAATTCGTTGTGATAGGATAGGAGTACCGTCCATTAGGCGACGGCAGTTAAAGCGGAACACTAGGCTAGGCTAGGTTGGACGTTTGTATACATTTTTGATGGAATAAAGCATATTTCATTTGGGGAAAAAAAAAAGTCAAGCTACAATATTCACATTTTTCAAACTCATTATGCAATTTTGGAATTTAAAAAAAAAAAAAAAGTAAAAGGGGTGGAACCCCTTCCCTCGTGCCTAATGTGCTTAAAAAGGGTGAGGCTGACTCTAACCTAGGAGCTCTAACATGGATGCATGAGGCTGGGGTTCGCTAATGCAACTAGACTCGATAAGGTTTAAAAAGGTCCCCAAGCCTTCAGACCTAAGGGAATGGGTCATCAATCCCAAGACCCTCGGTCGGTGGCTCGAGCGATCCCCTAGGTATTGCTATGGGCGCAGAGCACACCATCCACATACCTAGAGAAACCATTCCTAGTCCTATAAGGCGGTGTGGGAAAGAGCCCACGAAAATAAAATAAAATGGGATAACAATAAATAAACGTGCACGTATGAAGTGTTCCCTTTTTGAGGGAAGGGGTTGAGAACCAACGCGAGGCTCTAAAGGTGACACACACCCCCCCCCCAAATGTAATGCAAAGCGCGAGATAAGACAAGTAAAACATACATCCAAACAACCAAATCATACATACGTGAGTGAGGGAGTAGTTTGATGTGCACGCAAAAACAAAAAGATCCTCAAATGGAAAATGCAACCATAATATCCAAATTCCATGCATAAAAGGGGTAGAAAATGGAAAAGAATGACTAAATCAAATGCTTGGACCCACTTAGGAACTCCCCAATGGAGTCGTCAAGTTGTCGCGCCCCACTTTTTGAAATGGTGTGGAAGTAGTGTGTGGAATATGTATGTGGAATATGTATGTGAACGTGTGCGAAAGTGAAAATAAAGGCCGTGGGATTGTGAAATGCGACGGTTTGGCCAAATAAAGTTCAAAAAGGGTTTTTGGATGAAAAATGGAGTCGCCACTTGGTATGGAGTTAGGGTGTACCAAGTCACCCAAAAATGATTTTTTGTTTTGTTTTTGAAAGAAAAAGTAAGCAAACCCTTTTAAAGAACTTTTAGGTCTACGCAACCAAAGAGAGGGATCGAGGGTCACATTTGATAAGGGAGAAGGCAAAGGCAATGCCTAAGGCACTCCCTTACCCTAGCCAAAGCTAGTTGCGTGACTTAGCCTCTACTTTTCCTAATTTTTCTACCCAAGGTACGTATCGCATGTTGGATATGACTAATGGATGCGAAAAGGAAAGCAAAATGCAATCCTAAACCAAAAATGTTTCTCATGAGGCTTTTAGGTCCCAACCACATGAATTGTGGTGGCCAATAAGGATAGCTCTCATGGAAGTCGTGATTAATGCACGTGAGGACTCAAGTGCAAGTGTGCAAGTGTGAGAAAATAAAGGTGCTTGTGTGTGCAAATGAATGAAAATAGGATAGTAGATACATATAAGTGCAATTGGGTGCCATTTGTGAGATAGAAAAATAAATAAGTGATAGGAAGAAAGTAGTGAGAAAGTGTAGATTGAGAAAAATCTAAATAGTGAGAAAATGTGGCTAAAAGAATGTGGATGTGGTATAAAAAGAATGCAAGTGTATGACCTTAAGGGAATGCATCAGGTCGGGCACGGGAAGGACTCCTAACTTTACGACTTTGATTTTCCCTTGGATTAGAAGGAAGAACTAGCGTGCTAAGGCTATTTTGTAGCCAAATTCGCTCGTTTCCCTTATCGAAAGGGGACTCTCAAGCAAATGTACCCTATAACTAGCATGAGGATGCAAAAAGCCTAAAATGAAGGGGAAAGGGTAGGAGGGGCATGCCAAATGCTAGAAAAACTAGGAAAAATGCATGAAATGAAGTGAAACATGCAAATGTGTACTAACAAGAAGAGATACCTAAGGGTCTAGCGTTGGACTAGCCCATATCTAGGAATTCCTACTAGCATTGGACTAGTGGAAAACGGAACAATGAGCCACAACTAGCGTTGGACTAGTGTGGTGACGGGAAAGGGGGCCACAACTAGCGTTGGACTAGTGTGGTGACGTACATTCATCCATCATGTTCATGCATGGCTATGGAAAGCGAATAGACATGTCAATCACCTATAAACACATAGCACATAACACTTATCATGCTCGACTAGATGCAAGAACCTAATAAAGCCAATTAACACATAGCAACAAAGGCAAATAACCAAGCTAATGAACCTATTACATTTGCTAACTAAAACAAAAGGGGAAGGGGAAGAATGGACAAGAATGCTCGCCAAGCCCTATCTATTACAAGCCAAGAGGTGTACACATACCCCATAAAAGAATAACTTAATGAAAGTAAGAGTAAATGAAATAAAGGAACTAAAGAAAGGCAAGGAAAGCAAATTAGACATGCAATTCTCACTTAGCACGTTGGATCACATAGGAGAGACAAAAAAGGATAAAAGAAATTATACCTCCCTTGAAATGGAGCTCTAATGGGGTGAAGTCACTTATTTATCCTCCAAAAGAAAAGAAAAGGTCAAGGTACCAATTTATTTGGGAAAATTAAAGAAAATGTGCAAAACAAAGCTCACTTGATCATGAAGCCCCTAAAGTCATGACTTAAGTGCAATCGAAACAAAGCATAGTAGCTGATTGAAGCAAACAAGCAATGAAAAGTTATAAGATTAAAGCTGCCAAGGACCAAATTGAGGAAATTATTCAATTGGTTGGGTCATAGTGGAACAAGGGAAGACTTAAGGGGCCAAACTGCAATTTTCAGAAAGACTTTCATGCAAAAGCATGCAAATGCTACGAATAGAATGTTTCTGCAACATTTTCTTATGCTCTTAAACTTCAGCAACTTTGCCTGGCAAATTCACACAACCATCTCAAACCAAAAATTCAACCTCAAGCTCCTACCAAACTTATCATGCATGCAAGAGCCAGAATGAAGAAGATTTTCATGCACACTCCATGCAAGTAACATGGGAAAACATACAAACAAGCTTCTGCAAAGAAACAGTTGCAGCAATTCTTTAAGGTCTCTGCACCTTTCCAGCCGAGACCTTTTACCCATTTCACCATACAAACGAATTCACCAAATCAAGATTTTAACTATCAATTATCAACTAAATCAAACACAAGATTTAAATGTACAAACAAAGTGATGAAACCAACCTGTAAGCTGTTGCCGAATGAAACATGAAACTAATGCAGCGAAATAACGTGAGAAAAGCTTCTGCAATTTTTCTTATTCAGCCATCAGCAACTAAACAGAACCCAAACACACAACTTGTTTCTCCAGTTCAGATTTCAAACCCAAACACAAGGCTTTAAACTAGGCAGCAAACCATCATCCAAACAAACAGAAAACTTAGCAAGATCCAGTGCAAAAAATGAAATGCATTCGGCAAGTTGAAAGATCTGGAAACATATGAAACTAGTTCGGCAAGTCCTGGTTTGTTCATTTTTAGCAATTATCTGGTCATGGTTCAAGTGTTTGAGACCCAAACATGCAAACTCCAGCACCAAACTTCCACTCCCCCCTTTCCATTACAAGATTAAATAGTAATTTAGGTGCAGAAACCCAGTGAGCAGTCGTTTGAGAAGAAAACAACTAAGAAAATGCAGCAGCCTTTGTTCTGCTGCAAATTTTGCAGCTCAAACACAAACAGATATTTTGACACAAAAACTCAAAGAAACCCAGCAACCAAACCGACACAAACCCCAAGCTTCTGTCCTCCAAACCCAGGCCAAACCCACGGATTTCTTCACCATAAGCCGAAAGAACAGCAACAACAAGAAACCCAGAACTTAACATGCATGGCAGGATATTAATAGGTGCATTTCACTTCTTTTCAGCAGCAGATAGAACACGGCTAGCACAAAACAGGGAGCGAAAGCTTTCCCCCTCTCATCAAGTTCACAAATAGGAAGTATAAGCAAAGGAAGGCAGCAACAGACGTGGCAGCAAAAAAATGTTAATGCGTCTGTGATTTATGAACAGGAAAAATGGAAAGATTACCTTTTGGCCTTCGTTACTTTGTCACCCGCGACGAAAGATTGAGCCAAGGACATGGCGCAGAACCATTCCGCATCGGTGACGTTGAAGTCCGCGGCGCCATCATCATTTTGTTCATCAACTGGGGGGCTCACTGAGCAAAGCTGGAATCCCTTTCATCACTTTCCTCTCGAATTGAGCCAGATCCGCAGCCCGTCAAACTCTCTTTGGTTTTCTCCAATAAATCTAGCCCAAAGCTTTCTTCTTTTTCTGTTTTCCCTCAACCCCGACACTCTCTTTGCTCAGCCTTTCTCCCCTCCAGTCCGTCCAACTAGATTCTCAGCCTCACTTCTCTATCACTCTCTATCTTTCAGCCGTGATCCTATTCTCCCCAGCCGTCAACCTCTCTGTGGTCTCAGACTTCCGCCGCCCGTCAAAACCCTCCAGCCGAAGATCTCCTTTTTCGTCCTGCCGCCAGTCTCTCTCTCACCTACTTCAGCTTCCCCCCAAAAACCTAGCCGCTAGTCCCTTTCTCCCTGGTTTCTCTCTTTTCCTCTACTTAGCCGCCAGCTCTCTCTCTCCCCAAAAACTCTCTACTCTGTCGCTGTTTTCTTTCTTTTCTCTCCTCCAGATTTGCGGCCGTCACTCCCCTTTCTTTTCCCCTCTTCCTTTTTCTTTTTATACGGGAATCATAACCCTAAACCTTCAGTCCTTTCTTCTATAATTGCAGCCCAAGGGCTGACCGAGCCTTTCTTTGCAAGCTGCGACAATACGCAGCTTGCAAGTCGCGTATTTTTTTTTCTCAAGAAAACATTGAAATTAAATCACAAACAACTAAATCATATTTTTGAATGCTTTTCTTTCTTTTTTTTTTCCTTTTTCGAGAAATTTTATGGTAGAAATTTTTAAATAAAAATAATAAAATAAAAACTAAAAACCAAAAAGTGAATAAAACTTAACACGACAAATAAAAACTAAGAATTAAATAGTAAATGAAATTACGCTAAAAATTTGGTGTCTACAAGTTTTATCTCCATTAGTTTGA